TGTCTGCAGACTTGCAGCGCTAGAAACCGGGTTTAGATACCCGTTGTTGGCAGAGCACAGATAGCCCATTGTGTAGCTTTGTGATTAATCACAAACAAAAATCATACAGCGCGCACACATTCTTTGAAACCTCCCAAAAATCAAGAACAAGATGGTGAATGACTGCCTAAAGATGGTGCCCATTTAAATGTGGTCACATTGGTTACAATAAAAGACACTGAAAAATGATTCCCCACCTTTTTTTTTTTTTTTCAATTTCAACAAGACAGCCAGCCTGAGAAGTTGTTTAGATTCTATATTATCTAGTTAAAGATTGCAATAACGATGAAATGGTCTAATGCAGAATGTAATTTCTCCTCTTTCATTTATTGGTCATTGACTTTGTTTTGGCATCTTGCGCATACTTGGATAACATTAATCTACCTAATTGAGCTCCCTTTTAGAGCCTGATGGGTGGGCCATGCCACGTGTTTAATGGTCTGATCCTTGATATTTTTGGTTGGGCATCAATTTAAAGGAAGTGCACATTTAAAGGTTTTCTGAAAATTCACCACATAAAGAGTTTGTTGATATTTTTTATTTAATGTTGCGTTTGCTCTAAAAAAATATTACTGACCTAGTTTTGTGAAGTTGGGAAGCACATAGTGAAACATTTTAAAATAACGTTTTAGTCCCATAACTACAAACATCAAAAGACACTTAAAATCTACCATATCCAAAATCTCTTTCTGTTGTATATTTTGAAATTGGAATGTTGGACTATGTCAACTGAAATTTCAAACGTGAGATAAATAACATTAGAAAAAAAGGATCAGGGTAGTGACGAAACATATCTAATCTAAAGCCCCCCAGTGGCACAGCGGTATGTCTGCGGATTTACAGCGCTAGAAACCAGGTTTCGATACCCGTGATGGGCAGAGCACAGATAGCCCATTGTGTAGCTTTGTGCTTAACTTCAAACAAACAAACAAATCTAATCTAAAAAAAAAAATGTGTGTCAGTAGAAAGCCTCGACCACCGTATTAGTTCTGTCCATTTAATAATGAACCCGTTGGCTTAGCGGTAAGTTTGAGGATTTCTTACACTAAAATCTGTTTTTAATAACTGCGATGGGCAGAGCACAGGTATACCTTTCTGTAGCTTTCTATTTAAAAACAAATAAATAAGTTTAATGAAAAAAAACAACAACTCATTCTCAGAAATAATTCAAAAGAATAAGAAACAACCAAATTCAGATTAGAAGCCTATGGGCCCAACATCATCAGTATGACAATGTAGGTTGCAATGACTAATTATGGCAAATATTAACTGAGGTATACTTTGACTTGGCATAATCTGATTTTTATAACATTCCACAAAGTGTTTTTTGTCAATTCAGATTAGAAGCCTATGGGCCCAACATCATCAGTATGACAATGTAGGTTGCAATGACTATTTATGGCAAATATTAACTGAGGTATACTTTGACTTGGCATAATCTGATTTTTTATAACATTCCACAAAGTGTTTTTGTCAAATGTAGCCTCATCCATTGAGGGGAGTGGTCTGAAGTTGGTTCACAAATGTCGGCAGAGAATTATAGTGGAGGTCAGACGTTCACATTTACCCCTCAAAGATATTCAGATTGAGATTCGATAACTGGTCTGGCTTAAAAGTACGACTTTCTTCGTGCTCGTCGAACCAGGGTGGAAATGTAGCATTATAGTGTAGCCATTATCGAGAAAAACGTTCAATTACCTTTGGATATTATATCCCCTCTAAAGTATCTAACCATTGCCAAGAGCACTTTTCCCACACCATTACACAGCCTCGAGCAACTTACAATAAAAATACAAACAGCAGCAAATATCTTATGGGTTTTCTCTCTTTATTGACAGTATATATAAAGAAGAAATTAAAATCATTACGCCTCATCATGTGCTTCCAATCATTAAATGCCCATAGTTCGTGTTTTAAAATCATTACTCCTTATCATGTGCTTCCAGTCATGAAATGTCCATAGTTCGTGTTTTAAAATCATTACGCCTCATCATGCGCTTCCAGTCACAAAATGCCTATAGTTCGTGTTTTAAAATAATTACGCCTCATTATGTGCTTCCAGTCATTAAATGCCCATAGTTCGTGTTTTAAAATCATTACGCCTCATCATGCGCTTCCAGTCACAAAATGCCTATAGTTCGTGTTTTAAATTCATTACGCCTCATCATGTGCTTCCAGTCAGAAAATGCCCATAGTTCGTGTTTTAAAATCATTACGCCCCATCATGTGCTTCCAGTCAGAAAATGCCCATAGTTCGTGTTTTAATCACTACTGAATATTTGTACTCTTCTTGCGTTGAAATAAGCGATATTCTTTGAACAGCCGAGCAGAAAACGATCTTTAGTAACAGCACTTATGCTATACAGGCATCATTATAATGTCTCTACAAGCTTTATAGATATTATTTGTTGTAGCTCTTTTTCAGGTTTACCACGTGATGTCTCAACACCTCTGCATTTGTAGGGTACAACTTATCATCCGATACACCTTACTATTATTTTATTTTGTAGTGGGTAAATTAGGCACCGCTGAAGGGTCCTCAAATGCCCTTAAGGAATATAAATGTGACTAATTTGACAAATATATAGAAACGAAATTATCGTAATACCTTTTGTTCGAATATTACACACACACACACACACAGTAGAAACGGTTAATATTTTGGAGGGAGGTTTGTTTGTAGTTAAGCATAAAGTTGTACAATGGGCTATCTGTGCTCTTCCCACCACGGGTATCGAAACCCTGTTTCTAGCGTTATAATTCCGCAGAAATAACGCTGTGCCACTGGGGGGAGGGGCTTGCAGGGAGTGGATTAGCTCCTAAATTTACTCTGGCCTAATTACCAGTAGCGTACCATTTTAGGCCCCGTTCTGTGCATACAAATAATTGGTTTGTTTGTATTGAATTTCGCGCAAAGCTATACGAGGGTTATCTACGCTAGCCGTCCCTAATTTAGCAGTGTAAGTCTAGAGCGAAGGCAGCTACTCATCACCACCCACCGCCAACTCTTGGACTACTCTTTTAGCAACGAATAATGGGATTGACCGTCACATTATAACTCCCCCACGGCTGAAAGCGCGACCATGTTTGGTGGGATGGGGATTCGGACCCGCGACCCTCAAATTGCGAGTCGAGCACCCTAACCACCTGGCCATGCCGGACACAAATAATTGGAGTTCTCTACAAATCTGTAAGTGGTTTTGATAAGGTGCACAAAAGAGTGATCGTATAATGTTTTGAGATATGCTGGTAAGCTTATGCTAGATGCTGAGAACTTAAAAAATCGGACATTTAGAAAATCAGACATAGTTTTTGTATGCAAGTGGTTGTGAAAAACGAATAAGCCTGAAGATGCTACCAAGCTGGTCAGACCCTTAGGGCGTCTTGGTGCGAAATTATCGAATAAAGCTGTCTTGGTGAAGTAATGTACGAGTATTATGTTTATACTGTAGTGTAGGGCTTCTAAGCACTTGGGTGTATTTTAGATAATTTTAAGTTAGCAACGCATTTTGAGAGCCAGGAGGTTTAAAAAGAAAAGATCCTTAACATCAGCCTTAGACTGCATGTATATAGAAGGAAATAGGTTTAGTGACGTCAGTATATCGGAACACTGCAAACATCAGTAACTTCCTTTCTCGAAATTTGTTTCTCGTACATTAGCTGTAGTTGCAACCTAACAAGATGTTTAAAATGAAAAATTAATCACTTCTGAAACTGTATAATTCCGGTTTTAAATAAACTCTAAAAAAAGTCTAAACTAATAACTTAAGCAGCAGGTGAAAAGCAAAACGTTTCAAAATTATTTAACTAGCATTTCAACCGTTTCACTTTGCTTTAGATGATTCAGCGATGGCTCAGAAAAAGATCTGAAACAGTTTTAGTCAGAATTTAAGCGGATGTAGTAAAGCTTATGTTAAGTGTTTTCTTTTATTTACTATGTAAACATAAAGGTACGAATTCTGATCTTATTATGTTACTATTTGGTTTTATAAGATCAGCGCGGTTCTTAGCTACATTTATTATACTCACTTCTATGGACTTGTATTAAAATTTAACTAGTATAGCTTACATTGATATGGATCACAGCTGACGATCTGAAGTTTATGGATTTGGCAGATTTAGTCAGCCAGGTGGTTAGGGCACTCGACTAGCTATCTGCGGGTCGCGAGTTCGAATACCCGTCCCACCAAACATGCTCGCCCTTTCAGCCGTGGGGGCGTTATATAGTGACAGTCAATCCCACTATTCGTTGGTAAAAGAGTAACCCAAGAGTTAGCGGTGGGTGGTGATGACTAGCTGTCTTCCCTCTAGTCTTACACTGCTAAATTAGGGACGGCTAGCGCAGATAGCCCTCGTGTAGCTTTGCGCGAAATTAAAAAACAAACAAACAGATTTAGTCAAAGCTGAAATTGAAAGGTATGGTCAAGTTTTATAGAAATCGAATTTCACTTAGGTGCTGAACTTTTTCATCTGATGTCGCCCAGAAGTGTCAAAGGTCAGGTGAAGAAAATTTTATACACTAGTTTTTCCACACGGATAGCAACACTGATTGGACGTTTTGATATTACTTTACCAAATATCTAAGTTATCTATTTATCACAGTTTATTGTCAAATGATGCTAAACTAGGAACATAAAAACACAGTATAAAACAGTGACACTTACATTCCTTGTCAAAAAATACAAATTCAGTCATGCATTATATATTGTATAATCTTCCTTCTAGGATCTGTTTGAAGGCTTCAGCATCTGATCTTTGATGATAGGACAACAAAATCAGCTTTCACAATGATCTCAGATATCGTACACATCTGTCAAATCATTGTGAAAACCAGTTTTGTCTACTGGTTACTTGCCGACTTCCTAGCTCTCCTGGAGTGCACTTAAGAGCATTAGATTTGCTCTCATTGAGTGCACTTAAGAGCATTAGATTTGTCTCGAAAATTGATGCACGTATCTGGATTTTCTTGCACTTCTGGTACAGATCGTTTTGATTGAAGAACTTCTCAAATATTTCGGATTCTTGACAGGAACACTGTAGTTTTTCATGGAGAACAGGGATAGATTTGCAAACTGTTCTTGAGGACTACTGGTACAGACTGTTCCGATTGAAGAAATGGTGTAACAAACAATGAAAGCTACAATAATTTTCGTTACATCTTGGTCAAATTACAAGTTGCATTATTTTCACCTTCCTCATTTTAACAAAACTACAAAAATTAAAACTATCTCAAAACCAAAGTGAGGCGACATTATTTCATATCGCAGAAAAGAATTGTTGACTTGGACGTTTATTACCCTTTAAGACTCTTATAAATAATTTTAGATAATAATGAATTCAAACTTCATATGGTCTAACGGTGCGTTAATATTTGCTTTCATAGTACTGTCAGTTCTTTTTCACGTAGAATATTTATTCGTTATTAATATTGGACTTTATCAAATAGGAAAATAATGTGTTAAATTATTGTTTATCAGCTAAAAAATTATCGGTCGGAAAATTCATATGAAATGTTATGGTTCTGTCATTTATATCAATTGTTAATCAATACATTGTGGCCCCCAGTGGCACAGCGGTATGTCTGCGGACATACAACGCTAGAATCCGGGTTTTTGATACCCGTGGCGGGCAGAGCACAGATAGTACATTGTGAAGCTTTGTGCTTAATTACAAACAAACAATACATTGTGTGCAACAATTTTAATTGTTTATGTCTACTAATATGTAGCATTTACGTCTAAATATTGCATTTTTTTGGGTTCAAGAAGAAAAAAAAAACAGTTAAACACTAATGGGGTACAAGTAATAGAGTTAGATGTCAGTCATCAAGATAATGTTTAGAAATCATCCAATCCCCCTTCAACATTTAAAACCATGTGATTGAGTTGATAGGGAAATTAAAGACGTGATATTCGTTATACCAAACTTACCTTTCCATACCTTTAATTCTTTAATCCGTGTATAATTCTAAACTATCTTCAACGAATTCACTACTGAATGCTTGAAACAATCATCTTAGAAATATTGGACCTGAGTATAGATAGTTCCCGCCACTTTTATACCATACTTCTGTGCTATTAGACCTTAACCAAAACACTGGCCATCTCCAGTCGTTAGTCAGATTATTATAAGAATACACAGATTTCTGAGGGACTGGATTTTGTAACGTATCCATCGTGTACAGGTTTTGTATACTATATCCAAATATGATGGCTTGTTAAAGTCAGTTGGTACTAATTTGGTTTCTCAAGAATTCAGTCCCTTGATTCATTTCGTCACGGTAGGTGGACTTACAAATGGATTTTAGCTTCAGTAGACAGGTATAAATATAAATATTTCTATGTAAATAACGTTGGCGTTGTTTGCATGTTTTTCTTCCATCTTTATTTTAACGCTTTACACTCCACCAATTTCGATCGTAGTATTGCATAGAAATGTATTTCTTCCCCCTGATACTTACTTATCTGTTGGTGAAATTCGTCTATTCTCTATAATTGCGACTGTATCTGCCTTGTGTATCTATCTCTTTGCCTTTCGCTAATGCCACACAGGCAAACAAACCCTGAACAAATATATTAAAACTTTAAAGATAGTTAATCATCCATAAACGTTGTATTCATACACAGCTACAGTTCTAGCCACGCTTTGGATAGATAGACATTTTGAACCCTCGAACTACTGACTTGCTTTTTAACGTTGAGTGCAATAAGTCCACATACGGTCTCAGGGTGAATACTTTTACGCTTTTGTGTTTTATAATACTCATTGTAAAAAAATTAGAGCCAGGGGGCGTGATCTAGTGTTTAGCCTGCCGGATTGTGTATCCGAGATTTTCCGAAGGAACCAATTTTTGAGTGGTAAAGCCATCGCTAAATCTAATGTGACACACAATGTGTAAAAAGTATGCCATTTCTAGAAGGGTCTGGGAGCATGCTTCCCCAGAAATGTTTTTAAAAAATGTAATGTTATGAGATTGAATCTTGAGCCATTTTAACTACATAAGTTGTAGCTATATATGCCATGAAAAATTGGTCAGGCCATGACCTGATTGGCCTTACCGCTTCCTACGGCCCTACCAAGGGTTCTTGGTTCGCATCCTAATACCCCCCCCAACCACACACACACACACTTTTAAAAAATGCGCTCCGCTCTGCGATGTCGTAGGTGCGTTATAAAGATGATGGTCAAACCCACTAATCGATTACAATAGCCTAGGAGTTGGCTATGGTGCTACTGACTAGATGAATTCCCTCTAGCTAATCAGTTCAGAATTGGGGACAGCTAGCACAGATGGTCCTTGTCAAGTTTTTGTTTGAATATCTGAAAAATAAACAACAAACAACTGAATAATAAAAAATCGTGTGACCTCGCTTTGTAAAACATATAGAGAACATTAGCAGTACCTAGTGTGATGTGTTGTACGTAATTAATTAAGCCAACAAGCAACTCCCACCCCCAATGCTCAGCTGAATTCCTGCATTTGTCATAACCTAGATTGTAAAGTCCTGGAGTAACGAACAAAAACGCACACAATTTGATTTGTAAGTAATAGTTTCGAAAATTGTTTAAAATGCCGATAGGAATTAGTATCCCTATTTGTAATTCTTGGGTTAAAAAAATTTGACTTGCTTGATATTTAAGCGGTAATTTCTGGAATACGCTGCACAAAGCTCTCTGCACAACTCTCGTCATTAACTGCATCTAATAAAAGAAGATTTTTAGCCGCGGCATAGCGGCTCATAGACTGGCTCTGAGTTTTTTGTTTTTTTCTTTCAAGTACAAACTTTTAGCTCATAGCTCTATATCTTGATCGATTTGAGATCTAATTACAGCCACGGCCATTGAGGATTCCCTCCTGCTTTAACACGAAGAACCGATGATTTAGGTATGAATGTTGCTTCTCAGTTGATGCGGTTCTTACGTTCGCTGATTTCTTTTAGCCATTATTTTGTACATAGCTATGCTGTATGCACAAACAAACACAAGAAACAATGTAGTTAACGAAAAGTAAAAGTATCAAATATAGTTAACTGTAACGCTAATATGTTGCATTTCACAAATGTATATTAAGGCATAGAACAAATATTCGAATGAGTTTTTTTGTTTTTCTGAGGGTTAAAGTTACTTCGAGTTTAATTCAATGCGTGTTAAAGATACAAAAATAGAACAGAAAAAAGAACTGTTTGGCAACTTAAAAAAGTCCTCACTAGTCTTCCCACAGCTGGAAAAATCGTTGACTCTAATGAGGACGGTGGTTACGAACTGTGAAGTTCCCACCCACAAAGCTCTACAAGGATCGTTGGACTAATAGGAATGTTCAGCGTCGGTGTCTTTTTTATATCATCAGAGTTTACGCTGTAACTATATTTTCTAATTTATTTATTTGTATGTGTGTATAAGTCAAAAGGACGACCAACTGACACTACACTACCACGTTGAGAGGTAGTTAATGAAATTGGGTAAGAGACCAGTTGCAGGGACAGGAGGGGAGGCTTCCAACCACAATGGCCCCTGCCCTCGTTAAATTTTTAAAATGAAAGCAAAAATCTTTTTTTCTCTCTGTCTCTGTATATACCAAGTAGAATATGAAGAACAAGACAGCGTACATAGATATTCTGTTGAATAAATATTTAGTAATAGTTTAAAGTATTAAACTATACAAAAAATATTGTTTCGGATATTCGCGTGTCCGGACTACGAGTCAGAATATTCATGGTTCGCGACCCGTTTCCGAAAAAAAATGTGCTTCAAAATTTGCGGCCACAGGTGCGATATAAGAGTGACGTTCAAATCCCACGATTAAGTCATAAGTCACAAAACCATTCAAAATTATGAATGGCTTTGTGCAAATAACTCCGTGTAGCATAATGACTAGTTTTATTTATTATTTTTTGTTGTGGATTTTGACACAGATTTTCAGTTTAATGATGGATTTAACTTTTGACAGATTCAAATGTTTCAATTTTTTTACGTACAAATAATTGTTTGTTGCGTTTTAGTAACCCTAGGTTGTTAAAAAAAGTAAAAAAATAAAGAACCCTTAAAATTCCAGGATGTACTTTCTATGAAATTCTAAAAAAACTGTTTTGTTAAACCTCTCTCACACTGGATTTAAATGCAATTTACTTAAGATAACTTATGTATGCGAGATGTGTTGCGTTTCAACGAAACTGAAATGTTTAATCCTACAATAATCGATGGGATCGTGGATCTATTCTGCTTTTCAGACATATTTTAAAATTATTTATGCCCCAAATTGCTCGTCGTTCTGCGATTTTGTTCGTTACAGAGCCCCTAATAACACGATTCACACAAAAATGCAAAGAAAAACATAATCAATACTACAATTAATCCCATTAATCACTAGGATGCCCCGGGAATTTTGTATTCAAAAAATGAGTGGTTTCACTCAATGTTTTGAGTCAGTTCTTTACATTGAGTTTTGTAACAGATAAAACTAAAACTACTCAGTAAGAGCAATAGTTGGTGGACGTCACTTAAAGAAGCCGATAATTTGAAGATTAAAACCGAAAAAAAAGCATTTATCGTGAGCCGACCAGTCTGAGAAAAGCAGTTCTCTAAGGATATTATATTAGTTAATGACACATCTTGGGCTAGGAAAGGTATATTTATCAAAACTTCAAACATGACCTTAAAATATCGAAACACAAAATGAAAAGTAAAAAAAAAAAATCTTATGTTTCTTTAAGCTTTGTTTCATTAACTTAAGCGCAAAGATGAGAAAACTTTCAGCATGTTATGCACGTCCTCGAGCTTACTGCTAAGACGTCAGGGGGCATTTTGATTTTAAACAAAATAAATAAATTGTATGTCTTCACAAATTGAGCGTTTTCAAACCTGTATCCTGATCAGTATGCGGCACTTGTTTATACTGTTCTTACTGGATACTCGTCACGGGTTTAGAATTTGAATGCTAATTGGTCTTCGAACCGCTATTCCCCCCCCCCCCTTCAGTAGTTAGTAACCTATTATGTGCATCAAGTCCAAGTAAACAACGTGTAGTTTACCCCACACAGCTGATAATGGTGCATATATTATCCATCGGGGGTCCCACATTAAAAAAGGCCTAATGGCTAT